CTAGCATGGATCAAAATAATGTTGAGACTGATTAAGATGAATTTGTGATAACCATTTTCTCGTCCATTAGCTGGAACCGAAACAGCGCCTGACTGCGGGTAATATGTTTTTTCATGACTCCGCACATAAGCGTTCATATCTAATTACATCACAGCTGTGGTCATTAAACAGAACTCGTGTTTATTTCATGAGACGATACTTCAACCGTGAAATAATAATTCGGTCAGATGTTCGTGTTCAGTCAAAACAGGATGAAGATTCTGGAACAATCTGGAAATACTAATGTGGACGTAAATTGTTCTAACACAACAATCATGTTTGTGTGTGCACACATTAGTGTAGGTGGAACACGAGACTCATTTCCTCCCATCAGCCCAACCCTGAGCCTGGTTCTGCCCAAGGTTTCTTCCTGTTAAAAGGGAGTTTTTTTTGTCCCGCTGTCACCAACTGCTTGCTCATGGGGCAGTGGTCTGATTGTGGGGGTTTTCTCTGTCTTTCTATATGGCCTTTACCTTTCAATATAAAAAACTTAGAGGTGACTGTTGCTGTGAATTGGCGCCATATAAATAAAATTGAATTGAATTTGAGCCTGTGAGCCTGACAAAATATACTTAACTTTGTTTTAATTCAGCATTCCAAGATTGTGTCTCAGTGCTGGCACTAGCATGTCAACACTAGCATACTTGTGTAGTGCATAAATTTCAATAGTAAAAAAAAAAATAATAATAATAATTTGCTACCGTACACCATTTAGACACCTATAACGCACTGCATGTGCCCAGACTTGACACTTTGGTTCTCAAAATAGCAAGCTGGAGTGAAGGCACATTATTAAAGATCGCTAGCAGGACTATAAGCAAATGTTTCATCAAGTGGCTCACTGAATCATGCACATTTGCACACATTTACCTTTGGCAGAATTCTGACATAGATTTAGCCATGTCACGAAACGTGTACTAGCTAAACTGCTAGCTAGCAAATGCGCATGATTTAAAAGCCTTGCGGATGACTCAGCCTCTGGTCAACGCATGAGCAGAGGTTGTCATTAAGTGGCTCACTGATTCACGCACATTTGCACAAATATACCTTTGATAGAATAAAGATTTCTGACATAGATTTCGCCATGTCAGGAAACGTAAATGGTAAATGGCCTGTATTTTTATAGCGCTTTACTTAGTCCCTAAGGACCCCAAAGCGCTTTACTCATCCAGTCATCCACCCATTCAGACACACATTCACACACTGGTGATGGCAGCTACATTGTAGCCACAGCCACCCTGGGGCGCACTGACAGAGGCGAGGCTGCCGGACACTGGCGCCACCGGGCCCTCTGACCACCACCAGTAGGCAACGGGTGAAGTGTCTTGCCCAAGGACACAACGACCGAGACTGTCCAAGCTGGGGCTCGAACCGGCAACCTTCCGATTACCAGGGGGCCTCCCAACTCTTGAGTCACGATCGCCCCAGAGCCACGATCGCCCCAGGTGTGCTAGCTAAACTGCTAGCACACCTGGGGCGAGTAGTTTAGCTATGCTAGTAGTTTAGCTAGCTAAACTACTTCTTCTTTAGCTAGCTAAACTACTAGCACACCTAAACTACTAGCTAGCACACGTGCATGATTTAAAATCCTCCAGCATGATTCAACCTCTCCTCAACGCACGAGGAACCGTGAGGAAAAGTGTGCATTCAAGGCGATGAGAATGTCCACTGTGGGCTTCTGTGAACAGCGCCGAATGTACACAGCCTCGTTTCTGAGGAAATTCCACAGAGCACCTTTAAATATCAAGACTGATATGGAAATCTTCTGACAGAGAGAGTCACACACTGATGCACATATACAGTTAAACACGGCGTTCTTCAAACTGTAATGAGAAACTTCTAAAAGCCTCCTGTCGTTAAGGCTAACAGAACTGATTCAGTATTGATTTCAACCTCGGTGTCATTACCCCGTCTGAGCTCTCTCAGCTCACCTCACATATACTCGTGTGCCTGTTTGACTACAGCTGTCGCTTTCACAAAAGGTCCTTTACTTCACGCTTTGTTTGAAGCGACGACTGTTTGATCCCGCCGTCCCAAAGACGAGGAGCCCGCTGGGACACGTCTCTCCCTCTAGCAGGCGTGGTTTGAATTCAGCTTCAACTGAGAGCTAAATTGCTCTCCAGTAAACACAGAGCAATAAATCAGGCCGTTACAACTTTGAGATAAGAGGCATTTCCTAATTCAAAGCAGCTGGAAAGTAAAGATGATTCGCACCTCGGCGGGACTTCCGAGATGGGCCTCGATAAGAAAACGCGCCTTGGACCGCTTTCATTGTTCTGAGCTTCCTGTTTTGATGCGCTGCCAAGGCTTTCCGTTTTCAGTAAACGATTATTGGAAGTCCACACAGACCAACCAGATGGCCTGCGGTGCAGATAGTCGTAGTCAAAATGTAATTTAACAGTAAAATCGGTGACCTCCTGGTGTAATAAGAGCCGATACAAAGGAGACATTTAGATGTGTTTGGAATGAAAAACAAGAACCTAACAGCCAATCAGCTGGAAGGAAAGGGGCTTTCTAGACAGAGCTTCACTGAAGCTCGCTGTGATTCGTATCGACGTAGCTGTCACCGTTACTCTGGGTCAGGCTAACAGAGGGCCACATTAGCGAACATGCAGAACTGAGATTTCAAAGAGGCTTTTGATGATGAGCTGGTTAAAGTGCAGGTTATTCCCCTCTAACTTCTTTTAACCTCGGCTTCCTCTTCCGCTGCTGGTGAAGAAAAGCAGCAGGTATTTATAGATGCTCTTCCTCCACACAAACACCCGTGACACCTCTGAAAGGTCGTAGCTGTTTGGGCTGCCACGCCTCTTAACCGCTGCATTAATAGCAGACGGCGTTCACACGCACACGCACCTGTAGGACAGGCAGTATATGTTTGGCAGGGCAAAGTGAAGTGCACACACTTTCCTGTCATTATCAAACCATAAACAAACCTCCGGTGCCCTGACGCACAGGCGAAGTGTCCGGCCTGCTGAGACCTCACGTCGTCTCGGTCACACCGAAGCCTCTCGTGGCCACTTTTCCACCTTTGCTCGCTCTCTTCCTGTTTTTCGTCTCCTCTGAGAGTCTACTCCTCTCGCTAATCCTATGACTGTGTTTAGACTCTTCCTGCTTTATGGGACGTCTGCTGTAAATATTGTGACAAACAAGAGTAATAGAGCGCTCTTGCTAACTCTTGACCCTCTGGTGAATAAAGAGTCATGACCGTGACTGAGAAGTTGTTTTCCTCAGCCGCCTCACTGTCAGAGCGTTCAACACTTAACACAAATAGATTTGGACCCCAGGGAGGAAGTGGGGAGCCGAGACAAATTAAGATCAATACACTGATCTGTAAGTTCTTGACCTCCGGACACATCGCTGAGCTAAATGGATGGCTATTCTCACCATCAATTACTCTTCCACGGAGAATAGAGCGTGCAGTCAAAGACAAAAGGTGCTCGTTGCTCCACATACAGGAGGCGGAGCACTAGTGACACTTGCAGATATGTCTTAAAATAATAAATCAAAAAATAAAAACTGACCGATTGGCACCAGGGCCACCACTAGGGGGGGACTGTGGGGTGCCTCGCCACATTTGGACATCCTGACGTATAATGGAGGAATAAATCTCGGAGCATTGTAACTTTTTCTTTTGTTGTGTTGCACGTTTGTTGTGTTGCTAAAATCTGGCCCGTTCTCATCTCCTCATTAACAACACTGCCCCCTGTTAAATAATAAAAACTCAAAGAAACTCCAAAGAGAACATGGTGAGATCATTAGGAGTGTACACGTCCTAAATATCTGAGTTTCGTATCAAAGCTCTTGATGCTGCGTTCACAATATATTAGCTTCGTTTTAAAGCGTTCTGCTACGAGCGCCAGTAAGAAAATGAAATCCAGAGCAGAAAATCCACAGTTAAAGTACCAACAATCAGCCGAACCTCTCATTTGGCAGAGGAAACGCAGACAGGAGCTTCCATATATTTGACTGATTCCTACATCGAAGGTTGATTCGTGTTCAGTGTTCGACTGCTCTGCTGGCAGCACACCTTTCACCGATGTTGTGCTACTGTGGTTCTGAACGCAGGCCAGAGTTTAAAGGTGCACGCTGTTGTTTTTTGGGACAGGTGATCAGTGAGATTACCTGTTAGTGCTCTGTGACGTAGTTTCTTACGGACTCTGTTTCCTGTCACAGCAAACACGTATGTTCACACGTCAGAGGGTCTGAAAAAAACAAAAGGACCAGCAAACAGACACTTGGTCACCTTTTTCAGATGCAGGGACCAGTGTTGTGAAGCAGTCCTTATGCAAGACCTGAACTGAGGAGCCTTTCTAAGAGTTCTGGACCCTCTTAAATACTTTCTGAGAATATTATTTGTCTTGATGTTCATTTGCTGGGTGGCAACCCAAAGGTGGGGAAGCAGCAGCAGCTACAAACGCGATTGAAGACGTGAGGTGGGCTTCAGTACAAAGCAACTCACAGATGTGCTGCAAATGTAGGCAGCTGAAGTCTCGCTAACTGGATGTGTAGAAGGATAATCAGCTGAGCCATCAGCTGATGTGGGACCATGGCTGAGCTTGATTTCTCACCTGAACAAATGCTATGTTCAATGAAACCAGGACAAGGACTGACAGCAAACCTGTGTGATAAATAATTCAGCTTTACTTTGATCAGGAGAGGGTGGAGACAACATCTGGGGAACAACACTCGGAAAACAGCCCGAGGCGCTCAAACCTGGGCCTCTGCCTCTTTTAGTGAAAGTGGTCACAAGCCGGGTGGCAACTAAAGGCTCCCAGTTCAGCATCACCGTCTTAGAGCTGTTCAGTCCTTTGGAGAAGTCCAATAATATCTGTTATAATGGAGCAGTTTGTTCCTCTGATGTGTAACTTTCATTTGCTTTACATTATAAGATAAAGACCTACAATCACACAAAATGCCAGGGGCCTAAAAGTAGTTTAACCTTTGTTATTATGGTAACCTACCCAGAATCCTCAGCTGTGTCACTGCACCATGCAAGCCGAAGAACATCCACAGCGGGCGGGAGTTGTCCACGCACACCTGCATGCCCACGTTGGCGCCGTTGTGGCTGAGGATGACCTCCCCCTCCTGGTTGACCAAGAAGCCCAGGATGTCACTGCTCTGTAGAGGCGTCGGCACACGGCACACCGCCCAGAACTCCTTCCTGTCCACCAGGGCTTCGGGATTGTAGGGTAAGTCGCTGGGGCGCAGCACCGCCGGGTCGCAGGACGTCACACCGTAAGACAGAGAGCCCGAGCGCGCCGGGCTCGACTTGGTGACTTTGATGAACACGGTCTCGCCGATGCGCAGTGGCCGGTTCGTGAAGACCAGCGTGCGCTCTTCGCGCGCGTGCTCGGATCGCGCCACTGTCTGCTCGTCCAGCGTCTTAATGTGGGCGCCGCGCAGCTGGTGGAAGTGGAGGTCGCTCTCCAGGGTGGACGGCAGGAGGGAGGACTGCTGGGAGTTGAGGGAGTTCTGCGGGATGGGGCAGCTGGAGGAGGAGGAGGTGGAGGCCAGGTGGAGGGTGTGGCGGTGGGAGCGGCTGTGGGCTGGGCCGCCGTCCTCCTGCTGCAGGTTGAGGTCGCACAGGCTGACGGACAGGCGCGAGTCGTCCGCTTCACGCCGCAGAGAGGAGGAGCGCACCGTGGTGAAGGAGCGTGGACGCAGGCAGTCTGCAGGAACAATCTCGCTGTCTGGAAGAGGAGGAGGAGAGGACAGCGGTTTAAATCAGCACTGCTGTGTTTTGCTCTGATTAGCAATTTTCCTAAAGCCTGCGGGAATGAAGTTTGCAGCTCACCAAGGCTGAACAGCACTAAGAGAAGGGCTGAATCTGCAGCTGGTCTGACAACATGATAACGATAATAAAAGAGCAATTTCATTTCACTAGCATGAGCTGCATGCAGCGCAAGGTAGGGGTGATTACTCGATGCTGAGGCAGAGTGTCGGGAAGTGTGTTTAAAGGAATTAAAGACAGTAGTGGGTTGCTGCTGCATCTGCACAGGTGTACAATGCTGCACAGTGTCAGAGAGCAAGGAGGCTGTGTGTGTGTGTGTGGTGTGTGTGTGTGTGTGTGTGTGTGTTGTGTTTGTGTGTGTGTGTGTGTGTGCGGTGCGTGCATGTTTACATATCTATGTGGGGACCAAAATCCCCCCCAAAATTATTAAGGCTCAAAATGTGGTTTTCTTGTCAGGGTTATGGTTATGGTTAGGGCAAGCATTATGTCAATGAGATGTCCTCACTAAGATATGAAAACAAGTGTGTGTGTGTGTTGGGGTGTGTGCTGGCTGCATTCCTTGCACTCCATAGTACAGTATCACTCCACAGACATCTATTAATATATACCAATACATGTCTTTAATAGCAGTGTAGTGGCCACATACAGACAAACGCACACCTCTGATAAACTCTCAGGTTGCTTCCCATCCTATGCGCTGACTCAGCTGCTTAAAATAACATCCTTAATGTGCCCTCCCACCTCGCCCCTCCTGGCCTGGTGGTAGGGGTAAAATTAGCCCAACACGCTGACAGCGCCCAGCTCCTCAAGCTTGGGTTTGTGTGAGATGTATTTGCAGAGCTGAACGCCAAACGAGACCAAGACGAAAAAAAAGAAAATGACCTCCTGTTCCTCTTAGATGATACTGAGAGACCCTCCTCAGTCAAAACAAGAGGCACTTATTAAAACAGTGGGCTGGGGAGGTGCAGGAGGTCCATGGATGAGAAACAGCCACCGACGGTCTCTGGAGAGTCTCGAGTCCTGGTCAGCTCTATCTATCCAGGACCTGAGAGCTCTGACTTCAGATAAACCTCTTAGCCCTAATTACCAGGGCCGCAGGACGGGCTGCTAACTGTGAGCTGCAGCGGGGAAACCAGAACAGCCAAGCTTCTTATGATCCCACAGCTGACAGGGACACAAGCCAAAAAGGAGACAGAGTCAGGACAGTCCCATTGACAGGGCCGCCCGAAGCAGGAAGCCTCCATCATCAGGACCGAGTAAATTTGAGATTAGCTTCAAATTGTGGAATTAATTTAACTGTTTGAATCAGGTTTCAGATTTACAACTGTTCATACAGAAGCGTAACACCGGCAGTTAAAAGCAGTCTAAGGTACCGTGACATACATCACACAGAACTAGGGATGAGACTCAACGTGCTGTCAAGGATAGAAACGGTGTCTTTATGTCCTTTACGTCCTACAGCAGACTCAGTGTGAAAGTGCCAGCACAAAACCTCTCTTTCAGTCTCAAAGCTGGTCTCATCCTTGTCCTCCACTTTACTGGAATTTTGTCCCAATAAAAATGGAAACTGGATGTAAACAAGTCTAAAAAGCAGATCTATCCTTCAGGTTGATCAGGCCCAGTGTACATGGAAGATGGACATCACCAGTTGGTTTGTCCAACTGGAAACTGGAGCATTGAGGTTACCCTCCAAAGTCTCGCTCCATTTGAAGGTCTATTTCATTCTAAATGTTAAAAACACTGAGAGAAGAGATCAGAAAAGTGTTTAATGAGGTCATGAATGAAGTAAGAGATCATTTTTGTGCCTCCACACCCAGAAAACCTGCCCTCTGCTGACAGGGTGAAACCATCGCATTGTCTCCACTGTTCGGGCTGCGCGCCTCTGTTTCATACAGCCGATGCTGCTGGAGTAAACCGACTCATCCCCATCAGTCACTGACCTTTAAACTCTACTGCTGCTGGCACAGATGAGATTTTCAGATCAGTTTTCAGGTCAGCGACCAAGATTCAGGCGACTGGATCACGGCATCATTGCATACTCTGGATATTGTTCAAATAAAAAGGTGGAAGCAGAATTCGTCCGTCTTCTACCTCCTTTGACTTTCATTTGAATCTGTTGTTTTGGATAATCACTGACACATTTCAGAGTTTTCCTCATTCCCTGATCCAAGCTCCACCGTCACACCTTAATAAAACGATCACCTAAGAGGATATCTCACTCATCTACAGAGACGCTGACTGGCATCAAATACCAGTCTGTGATATGTTGGAGTGAAGTGGAGATGACAGCAGTCTGCTCGGCGCTCCATCCTCTGAGAGTTACACGTCTGATTTTCTGCATCATCGCTGAAATGCCGTCTGATGAGATCGTGCGCCGTAAAGCCGAGACCGTCGTGTCAGTCGTCGATTAAAGCTAGCTGCTAACTCAGACCGTGATGCCCTGTGATTAATGTTTAATGGGACTAAGGCCTTGTAATCGTGCTAATTGATTTCTCAGCGAGGGATAAAATGGAGAGGACAGTGCCTTTGGTGCACAGGGCGACTCCCAAAGACTGCTAATCAACCATTAAACACCTCTGCTCAGAAGCGTGCAGCAGTTTCCCCAGAGTCCCCGAGGCTAGCTGTAGATGACTAGCTTGAATTTCATCTACTTTCTCAGCTATCCCACACTGATGGACTCTCAGCCTCCATGAAAACCAGGGCTTAGAGGAGATTCTGTGCAAATGAACGGCCTGACGACGTATGGATGTTGGGTTTTAATTGAACAGCTCAATCAGCCACGTAGTCCATTTCTGGATTTTATGCAGTTTCCTTGGAGCTTCATTTGCTGAAGGGAGACCTTTAATGAAGCAAAGACTCCTTGATGAAGCCTTACATTTTACTCACTGATGATGAGGGAAAGCCTCTCCTTTTAGGCATGCCGCCCGGTCGCTCTGACTCAGTGGATGTGAATGACATCACCAAACCAAATTGCGTGCCTCTTGCAGTTATCTGCTGCCCATCACTCTGTTGCAAATTGGATTACGATGGGACAGACTTTGTTGCAAGACTTCCGGGACTGGAGCTGATGATGGCATGCCTCGAGGGAGGATAACAGCGAGAGGAGCAAAGCCGGCAAAGGAGGGGGTGGTGCTGCCTGTGACGGTGCTGGATTTGTGTAGAAAGGAATTGATGGAGGCTTCCAAAGAGCCGCACATCATCTCCCTCTCTCGCACCTTCAGTGTCGCGCTGATGCAAATGCAGAATGTGTGAACATTAACCCATATACACGGGAAATTGATTTCTCTAAAAACTCATCTTTTATCAGCTTTTCCCCTGTGAAGCTCCTCTCAAGGTTTATGTTCCCTTTTACGTCTCACTCTCTTCTCCTTCCTCCCTCACTTTTCAAAGAGCAGTCATTTCAAACTCATGCCAGATTGGGCACAGTGTATTCTTCTCTCTGCTTTTTTATTCATCAAAGGCCGGAGAGACGGAGCAACGCCGTACCGCATGTGCTCCTAATGCTCGTTGTTAGCTTGGGAGGACAGAGAGAGCTCTGAAAGGACTGCAGAACATTTACTGTGTGTGTGTGTGTGTGTGTGTGTGTGTGTGTGTGTGTGTGTGTG